TATTCTTCTATTTTTCTCCCCCTTTCTCCGCTTCTCTTTTAATGATTAATTCCTTTTAAGACATGCCATCTGTGATTTTACCAATCTGAGTGAACAATGACAGATTTATCTGAAGAACTTTTATATGAATAGAAAACAGCAGAAAGGAAAAGGGAGTACGTACATAAAGAAGTGAAAAAAATCGTATTTCTTCCCTTTCCCTTTTTCTTTTCCACTCTTTTTCTTTCCTTCCTCTTTCCTTTCTTTTGTATGCAGACCTTTATCCCTGTTTTATCTTTCAGTAATCTTGTATTATTTATTTTATTTGTATTTCATTCACTTTTATCTCTCCTTATCTTTCCCCTCTCCTCCCTCTTACTTATATCCTTTTCTATTTTCCTTCCTCTTTCCTTCGTTCTCTCTTTTTTTCCCCCTTTCTTTCTATTGGTTTGCCACTCCCTCTTAACCTTTCTTAAAGGACCACTCTAGGCACCAAGACAACTTCATTTCAATGAAGTTGTCTTGGTGCCAGGTACCTCTAGTTTCTTTTTTTTTTTAAATACACTGCCGTTTCAGAGAAAAAGCAGTGTATTTTTTTTTCCCTATTCCCACCTACAGTGGCTGTCTCTGAGACAGCCACTAGATGGTGCTTCCTGAATCCTCACTGTTAGAATCACAGTGAGCTGACGTCAGACGTCCTCTTGGACGTCTAACGTCATTCCCTCTAATGCAGGCAGCTCAGAGCGCGTTCACATCTCAGTTTTATTCCTCGGAGGCCAGGGTGTGAGAGAGAATCTCTCACTGAAGACGGAGTACAGAAGAAGAAGCAGCATCTCCCCTAACGGAATCTGGCTGCACATTGACTGTAAGTAAACTTTTATCCTATTTGTATTTTATTATTAATGTAATGTCTTTGTATTGTTTTTATTTTTTAATTTTAGTTAGTCATTTGTTTAATCTTAACTTTATCTGTTTGTATTATTTTAAAAAATCTAGATTTGTTTACATATGACATGTAATCTATTTTGCTATTTTAACTTTTATTTTTGTTTACAGTTTGCTATTTAATTTTATATATATTTGTTTTTATGTGTGTATATATGTATTTGTTTATATATGTATTTTTTAATATATGTATTTTTTTATATATGTCTTTTTTAATATATGTATTTTTTTATAATTTTTTTATATATGTATTTTTTAATATATGTATTTTAAAAATATTTTAGGAGATATTTTCAATGTATTTATTGATTTTATTAGTATATGTAGTTGTATGTCTGCATACATTGTTTTCGTTTATTATTTTACATATGTCGCACCAAAAACAATACATTGCAGACATACATACAGTCGTGTGTATGTGTATATATATATATATATTTATATGTGTGTATGTATGTATGTATATATATTGTGTATTCAATCGTTATGTACCATTTTAGTATGCCATCCTTGGAGCGCAGGAAAAGGTCTGTCCTTCATCTTGCGCTTCAGCGCATGCAAGGCAGACAGGCTCTTCACCTGTGCTTTCCTGGAGGGCATACATAAAATGGCTGTGTTGAAGAAATACATTTCTCCATATTGCCACAGTTTCACTGTTGCTCAGCACGTGAAAAGTGCTGCCCAGGATTTATACTTTTCCTTTCTTGGGGCTGCATTTTTTTCGCCTGCTGGCACACAGTCAAAATCATGTTTATGTATCCAACTAATCTTAAACATGAATTTTAATTTCTTTTAAAAATAATATTGTTTTGTTTTTATTTTCAGAGAATTGACTTGCGTCATCAGAATCAGCATTGTGCGTGACTTTGATCAAGGTAGGCAATTTTTTGGAGTGGTAACGTTTATTGAAAATTTTTACTGAATGAAACCTTTAAAGGACCACTATAGTGCCAGGAAAACATACTCGTTTTCCTGGCACTATAGTGCCCTGAGGGTGCCCCCACCCTCAGGGACCCCCTCCCGCCCGGCTCTGGAAAGGGGAAAGGGGTCAAAACTTACCTTTTTCCAGTGCTGGGCAGGGAGCTCTCCTCCTCCTCTCCGCCTCCGATCCGCCCCGTTGGCTGAATGCGCACGCGCAGCAAGAGCTGCGCGCGCATTCAGCCCGTCGCATAGGAAAGCATTTACAATGCTTTCCTATGGACGCTTGCGTGCTCTCACTGTGAAAATCACAGTGAGAAGCACGCAAGCGCCTCTAGTGGCTGTCAATGAGACAGCCACTAAAGGATTAGGGGGAAGGCTTAACCCATTCATAATTATAGCAGTTTCTCTGAAACTGCTATAATTATGAAAAAAAGGGTTAACCCTAGCTGGACCTGGCACCCATACCACTTTATTAAGCTGAAGTGGTCTGGGTGCCTAGAGTGGTCCTTTAATTACATACCTCCCGAAACACACACACCACACACACGCTATGCATTCATTATATACACACTACACAAATACACACAACTCCCCTGTATAAACACACTGCATCTAGTACATGTGTCATGTATATTTTGTGCATTTTCCTTTTTAAAATTGTTTATATTTAGAATTTAGAAATCGTAAATGTATTGAATATCGGTAAGCTATGGCTATTCGCGTTACATGAGCACTCTAGGCACCCAGGCCACTTCAGCTTAATGAAGTGGTCTGGGTGCCAGGTCCATCTAGGGTTAACCAATTTTTTAATTAAAATAGCAGTTTCAGATAAAATGCTATGTTTATAAATGGATTAATCCATCCTCCATTGGCTGTCTCTTGACAGCCGCTAGTGGCGCTTACGTGACGCCAGCGTCCATAGGAAAGGATTGTGAATGGTTTTTTTATGGAGTGGCTGAAAAATTCAGCCAAAGACGAATAGAAGAAGTAGGAAGGGAAAAGGAGGAGGAGAGCTTCCCGCCCGGTGCTGGATAAAGAGGTAAGTTTAACCCCTTCCTGACCCTATAGCCCGGCAGGAGGGGGACCCTGATGGTCGGTGCACCCTCCTGGCACTATAGTGCAAGGAAAAAGAGTATGTTTTCCTCGCAATATAGTGGTCCTTTAAACCTCTACCATAGTGAAGAATTTCTGATTGCATTTCTATAGTTAACTTATCTGACGTTAAAATCTGTGAGAATGTCTAACGTCATCTAATTGCTATTTACTTTACTTGTAAATGTAAATGTCAGGGTCCACCTCCCGCCCGGCTCTTGAAAGGGGAAACTGTTTAAAACGTACCTTTTTCCAGCGCTGGGCGGGAGCTCTCCTCCTCCCATCCTCCTCTTCTCATCCCCGTTGTCTTGATGCGCACGCGCGGCAAGATCTGCGCACGCATTCAGCCGGTCACATAGGAAAACATTCATAATGCTTTCCTATGGACGCTGGCGTGCTCTCACTGTGAAAATCACAGTGAGAAACACGCAAGCGCCTCTAGCGGCTGTCAATGAGACAGCCGCTAGAGGAAATAGGGTAAGGCTTAACCCATTCACAAACATAGCAGTTTCTATGAAAATGCTATGTTTATTAAAAAATTGGGATAACCCTAGAAGGAACTGCCACCCAGACCACTTCATTAAGCTGAAGTGGTCTGGGTGCCTAGAGTGGTCCTTTAATTTGCAAAGATTAACATAACACAATCTCCAATAAATTAAACTAACATATTTTAATTTTTTAAAGATATATTTAATATTTTTTTTTAATTTTTTTATTTTAGGGGGGGTGTTGTATTAAGTTTTCAGTTTTAAAGAGTAATTCTTTTTTTGTTAATCAGTTTTTATTGAAGCCAGTCAGTAAATAAAGTTGGGCCCGCAGGCCCGCATTAATAGTAGAATACAAGGTTACATAATAAAAGCATCAGATATCCAAACAGTATAAATATGTGTGGTTAGAATCTATTACAGTTGCAATATTAGGTAACATGAGATCGTTAATAGTAGTCGTTACCGTGTCCCTCTCCCAGGGGTACTTAGCTAGAGCTCGTGATAATCATAGTTATTCAGATCAGTCCCCTGAGGGCTAGGGCGGTGCGGGGTAATTGGTATGTATCGGCGTTTTATAGCCGTGTGAATACTAATGGTTCGTGTGTCAAGTCTTCTCATCGAGAAGTGTGGAAGTGGGGTGTGATGTATTGGATTAGGGTGTGTCTTAGCCCACAGGTAGGGCGTTGTTGAGTGTTGGCAATAAAGGTATGTGGCATTACACAATTATTGTAGGTGGGATGGGAAGAGGATGGTGTTGGTTCGAGAAGAGGACACGATAGCATGGGAGAGTCCCTCCAACAATGTGAATGTTTAATCGAGGTGTTCTCATTCTTCCCTCAACTGCCCGCATTTGGTGCAGGAGGGTCATTGCGGTAGAGCCCAGCTGTGTCATGAGGTTTCCCCAGACTTGGTCGACCTGTTGCCTGACCGTGTCGTGTTCCATGCCTAGCTTGTATGATCGGGTTGTGCATGTCGCAATAGGCGTGCGTTGGAAGTGTCGTATCAGGTGTCTTGTGTTGACGGAGGTATGAGGTACAAGTTGGCCGTGATGCCCCGTGAGTGTGAAGGTATATCGTCATCATAAGTAAGGGGGGTTGAGGGCGAGGGGTCTCTACATGTGAGGGTCGTTGTGCTCTGCAACACCCAGTCCCTCGGATGGTTCATCTGTCCGGTCAGGTCCCAGTCAGCCTGTTTTGTCGTATGGTGTATAATCAGGGTTCCCGTGGGGGTCAGGTTGATGCGTCTGACGTCTATCATCTGATTGGGTGTGGATATCGTGCAGTGTTAGGTCTGTCTCATTTTGTCTCTTCCCCTCCGTGGGGACGGTGGAGGTCCGGAGACCGCTGTCTTTGCCTGTGAGGGCTCATAGTCCGTCGCTGTGTCGTGCTGTCTAGTTAGGGGCGATATGTGAGTGTCGACTAGCCAGTTAATTGTGTGTATTTATGTGGGCCGCTTAGGGGCGTTTTTGTTGGCTCAGGTCATCCTTTGTAGTGTCTCGTCCAGTCGGAGTGGTGTGGATGGTACATGAGGCGTAGTGTCTGTCAACAGGAGTGGCATTGGCGGCCGCAGGTCATAATGTATGTAGTGGGTCTGTCGAGAGGGCTGCGCCGTCCCCCGGCCCCCAGCTCTCCCCGCCAGCGCCCCCCTATTGTTGCGCACAGAAGGTGAGACACGGTTCCCAGATGTTCGCATATTTTGCCTCTCTGCCCGTCAATTCTGCCTGTAGTGCCTCTGCCGCTCTAATGTCTTCGACCCTGTGAATCCACTCTTCTCTTGTGGGGATGTCTGTATTCTTCCAGTATACTGGAATGAGTGATTTGGCAGCGTTCAGTAGATGGCACAGTACAGATTTTTTGTATGCGGATAGTGGTTGTGAGGAGATGTGCAGTAAGGCCAGTTCTTGTGACCATTCAGTGTCGTTCCCAAGGATTAGGAGAACATCTGATTTGAGTCGATTCCAAAATGGTGCGATAAGTCTGCATTCCCACCAGATGTGTAATAGAGTCCCGTTGTCCTCCTGGCACCTCCAACACGTTGGCGCGACAGCAGGGAAGTTAAAGAGTAATTCTTAACAGTCGAATAATAATACATGAATGTGTGCAAATATTTAGAACACAAGTGATATTTTTTTTTGTGAATCGTATATGTAGTCTTCAGTGCCTGTTTATTTATGTGTTCGTCGTCCATTTTTGAGTTTACTAAATTTAATAAAATTATTATAGTTGTAATTGTCAAAATTAACAATGTAAAAAAAATTTCAGTATTATTTAAGAGAAGTGTTGGCGCCAACAATCACACTACATGTTATTCTTATTTTCTTTTGTCATCCCTTTTATTGTTTTAAAAACATAGACAAAATGTCAAAGTGTTTAGTTGTAGGCTGCAGAAACAGTCACACTAAACATTCACCAGATTGCTCTTTCTTTAATTTTCCAAGTACACCGGACAGAATTAAAGAATGGCTTTTAGCCACAGGTGACGAATTTGTCAACCTAGATGGCTCAATTCAATTAATCATGGAAAAACAAAAAAGTGAGATTTTCAAAATTTGTTCGGACCATTTCACATCAGATATGATAGTAAAGTCTGAAAGGAGAACACGATTGGTTTTAATGGCAAAACCAACTATTTTTGTAAAAGCTAAAGTTTTACAAACTTTACACGATATGACTTTAAGGAGAGCAGAAAACAGTAGTGATATAGAAATGTTAGACCTCAGTGCTCCGTCAGCGGACCGCAGTGCTTCAACAGAGGGACACAGTGCTCCGTCAGAGGACCTCGGTGCTCCGTCAGAAGACCTCGGTGCTCCGTCAGAGGACCTCGGAGCTCCGTCAGAGGACCTCGGAGCTCCGTCAGAGGACCTCGGAGCTCAGTCTGAGACATCTATTTACGATCACGAGTATATAGCAGGTTTCCATTACAAACTGGCTTTTGATAAATCATTTATGAACATAGCTACCAACACCACAAATTTAACAATGATTGCCAAAGGTGTATCAACTTCAAAATACTACGGAAGGCGGAGCAGGTCTACACAAACCCACAGTGTAATTCAAACAAGTGATGTATCCACCAATATAATTGGTTTGAATCCAACAAAGGATGTCTGGACTTGGACTGGTCCTACAGAAGAATTTGCAGGATCCATTGACAATTCACCAAACGCTGCAATTGTACAGCAAACAGATACTATAAAAAAGGTTTGCACTATGCCAGGTGCAATGCCAATGGAGACAGAACTACTGTTATCCCCAAATTCACAACAGTCCGTTCCTGTAGAAAACATAGATACGCCATTCTCAAACATTTCTTCAATTACAAGAGTATCGGAAATGGATGCAACTCTCAATGTTTCAGAATTCAATGACCCGATTTACAGTCCCGAAGAAGAAACAACCGATATTGGCGATCTAACATTTTTAACAGAGCCCTCTCCTGAGGATTATGTTTCAGAAAAGAAGTTTATTGTGTTTGAAACTTCTCTCGATTTATTGATCAAAAAGGTTCAAACATGTACTTTTCACGAACCATGTAACGCTCCAATAACAAACACAGAAAAAATTATATCAGGCACTCTGTTAAAAGTATACACTGTATGTGAATCAAATCATTGTTGCGAATTTTGGAGCAGCCAGCCTATGATTGGGAACCGTTCTTGTGGAAATTTATTAGCAAGTGCATCAATTTTGTTCAGTGGTTCGCACTTTGCTAAAGTTGCGGAACTTTTTGCAATTTTTGGAGTGCCGTTTATTTCACAATCCATACATTACATATATCAAAAACTATTTTTATTTCCAATAATCGATCATCATTATAAGAAAGAAAGAAGATTATTGATAGATGGTTTACGTGGAAAAATGGTATGTCTGTCAGGAGATGGGCAATGTGACAGCCCTGGATTTAATGCCAAGTACTGCACGTATTCACTTTTGGAGGAAAAATCGCAAAAAATAATAGAATGTCAAACAATTCAAGTGAGTGACGCAAAATCATCTGTTGCTATGGAATCACTGGCATTCAAAAGTTGCATGGACCAAGTACTAGCCGACAAAATTCTAATTTCAATTCTCGTTACCGATCGTCATGTAAGCATAAGGAAAATCATGAGAGAGAGATACAAAGCCATTAATCACCAATTCGATATATGGCACTATTGTCGGAGCATTCGGTTAAAACTATCAACCATATGTCGCCAAGCGATGTACAAGGAATTGGTTCCGTGGCAAAATTCGATAATAAATCACATGTGGGCAGCTTGTTCATACAGCAAAGGAAATCCAATTTTGTTAAAAGAGAAATGGCTGTCGGTAATGCATCACATTATAAACGAACATGAATGGGACTCTGCAACACTTTTCAAAAAATGTCAACATGCGGAATATGATCAAACTCTTGAACAGAAATCCTGGTTGAAAAAAATGGAGTGGCATACTCCAAACTTCGAAGCTTTGTCACAGATTCAAAATTAGAGAAAGACTTTCCACATTTGGTTCATTTTTGCCACACGGGATCACTTGAAGTCTTTCATAGCCTGGTATTAAAATACCGTCCCAAAAGAGTACATTTCACGATGGATGGGATGGTAGCCAGGACACAACTGGCTGTTTTGGCCCACAACGCCAATGTAGGCAGAGAACAGGCCACTATACAGAAAGAACAAGCAGGCACTGGACACATTTGGGACTTGAGGTTCAAACCGTTTTTCTCTAAAAGGAGTAAAAATTGGAAAATTAAAAAAATATATGAAAAAACCACTATTGCCCATATATATCCAATGATGGCTGACGTACTACGAATAGCCTCAGGTGACTTACAAGTTAATTGGCAGTCTCAAACAGGGCAACTTCCAATAAACATTGCTTCAACACCTCGCCCACCAAAGGAGGTAATGGTTGACCGTCACTTTTCGCGTTTACGCCCAAGAAGACTTTAAAATGTTCAAAAATGTATAATTTGTGTAAGAAATTTTTGGACTGGTGATAAAAATGACATTTCTGTTAATGGTGCTAAATACTTGTTTATAGTGCAATTTAGTTGTAATTTGTATTCGAAGAACAAATTTTAATTTCTTAAAATAATTTTGATTTTTGGTTCAGTTTGTATAATTTCTTATACAAAACCAGGACGTTGCACTTACTTACTATTTGTTTTTGTTTTAACATGTTACATTACAGGAACCATAACAACTTTATGCACATTAAGTTATTATTGTGCCTGTAATTTACTATTTTATTTAATTTAAAATATTTATTATTGTCATATTTTTGAAAATTCAAAGTTGATATTGTCGAATAATGTTTTACTTAATAAAAAAAAAAAAAATATTATTTGTATTTTCAAACCATGTAATGTAACAATAAAGTTAATTTAGCGATGTGGATGCTTTTAAAAAAAAAGTTAACTTGTGTTCCAAATTTTATTTTTAAAATTTTGTTATTTATTACATTAAATTATTGTTGTAAATTTTTTTTTTCAATGTTGTTAATAAATGTTTATTACTTCACAATTTTTGTACTTTATTCAATAATTATGTTCATGTAGACACTCTATTGAAATTAGTGATAGCTGGTTTAAAGGACAAATAATTTTACCCATCACACTGAAGTAAAATTACTTTTAGTATTTGAAAAAAACATTATATATATATATATATATATAACTGTTTGTGTTATTTTTTTAATAAAATAAAATTAGTAGATGAAAGTATCATTAAAATAATAAAAAATGCAATATTTTTTTATCATTTTTTAATATATTAATATAAGAAATAAACATTTTTATAACAGTTTACATTGTACAATAAAAATAAATTAACATATTAAATTTTTTTAACATTATATACAACAAACAGACAATGTTGAATAGTTAACACATTTTGATAAACTAAAAGAATTGCAAGGCTTCGTACTGTCTACTATACAAGTTCAACAGCTATAGGGTCATCATCCGCATATCTAAAACCCATGTATATCGCATCTGGTGCAGGAAAGTGTGACCTAATCAGTTTTACTGTGCACGAGGGTATCGGACGCCGCCTTTTGGGTCCCAGGTTTCCGTACACCCACATTGTGAAGGACCTGTAGGCAGCTTTTCGGTAGTCACTGTGAACAAAAAAAAAAAAGGAAACATTTAACATTGCATATAAATAACCAAACAAAAAATGAGTGTCAATGGAGTATAGAATAAAAAAATATTAAATTATGAATATAAAATTTAGCATCAAAAACTATAGAAAGTAATTAAAACTAAACATAAACAATTGTAGTATTTGAATACTAAAAACAAAAGAGCACTATAGTGACAGGAAAAAAAATCTCGTTTTCTTGGCACTATAGGGTCATTAGTGTCCCCCCCCCACACAGCCTCAGTGCCCCCCCTCATGATGCGCTGAAGGGGTTAAAACACCTTCAGACACTTGACTTTCTCCAGCACCGAGCTCATTCTGTGCTGGCGACCTCTCCTCCTTCTGCCAGAGTCCGCATTACTCCATGTTTTCCTATGGACATCCAGCGTTGTGAGAATTGAGGAAACAGCGACTGTCAGTGAGACAGCCACTAGAGGCTGGATTAAACCTCATTGAAAGCTAGCAGTTTCTCCTACACTATGTTTGGAGCGGCAGGGTTAAAACTAGAGGGACCAGGCACCCTGACAACTTCATTGACTTGGAGTGGTCTGTGTGCCAGGTCCCACTATTTTTAACCCATTTCGGTGTAAACATAGTTTCATAGAAACTGCTGTGTTTCACTGAGGGTTAATCCAGCCTCTAGTGGCTGTCTCACAGACATTCGCAAGAGGAGCTTACACAATTCTAACTGACTGAGAAGACGCTGGACGTTCAAATGGCAAGCATGGAGTAATTCTTTCCTATAGGCTGTTTACCGAATGCGCAACGCTATAGACACGCATGTGCATTGGTAGCGGACATTGGCAGGAGGAGGAGAGGTCACCATCACCGGGGGAGCACAACACTGGACAAAGGCTAGTGGCTGACGATGTTTTAGCCCCTTCAGACTAGCAGGATTTGTTCACCAGAGGTTGGGGGGTGACTTAACCACTATATAGTGCCAGCAAAACAAGGTTTTTATTGTGTCACTATGGTGCTCCTTTAGAGATTAATTTTGCTTCATTTTTTTTTAAATCCATGACCGTTTTAAAGAACAATGCGCTGTATTTAGATTTATGATACACTCACCTTTCCTGCATTTGTTCCGGAGAACGGAATCGAGCGGATTTTACATAGCTGAGACCATAACGGTATAGAGACAGCACGTGTTCCCGTGAAGATAATTGCTCACGTAGATATGGAAGATTGCAAATGCAATTCTGTTGTTCATTCAACATATCGACAATGTTCTCTATCTCCCTGCAGCATAGACTTTCTTCCTCACTTTGCATTGGCATACAATTGCCACACAGACACCATTCCGATGTTCCTACTCTTGTTGGTGAACCTTGCGTATTTTCGTCATTAATCACTTGCTGTGCAGGTGGATCCCAGTCCATACTATTTAAAATATCTGGATCAACTGCATGTCGATGACGGTCCTCAAAATATTCTGACAGCTATAAATATATGTAGTAGTTTTTTTTTTAATATGTATTAGATCTTCATAAACACAATAACATTTGTATGAATCCTAGTCGGTATTGAATAAATGATAACAGTTAGAGGACCACAATAGTGTCTTTTTAAAAAAAAAAGGTTTTCTTGTCAATATAGGGCCATTAGGTCCACCCCACCCTCAGGGTCCCACTCCAGCAGGGCACTCGGGGTTAAAACCCCTTCAGGCACTTTTCTTTCTCCAGCACCGCGCTCCCTCGGTGATGGTGAACACTCCTCCTACTGACATCATTGCCGAATACGCCTGCGCGGCAACTGCAGTGCACGCATTCAAACCGCCCATAGGAAAGCATTACTCAATGCCAGTGATAAGATGCTGCATGTCAATACGTAAGCATTGAGTAATGCTTTACCATGTGTGTTTAGAATGCTTGCGTTGCAATTGCCGTAGCCGAGGGAGCACAGTGCTGGAGAAAGTTAAGTGGCTGAAGGGGTTTTAACCCCGAGTGCCCTGCAGGAATGGGACCCAGAGGGTGGACCTAATGACCCTATAGCGTTTTTTTGTTCGAGGCTAGGAAACAGCTATGTTTACAGTTGCAGTGTTGACACTAGAGCAACCTGGCACCAAGACCACTCCATTGAGCTGAAGTGGTCTGGGTGACTATAGTGGTCCTTTAAAATTCTTCAACCATGAAAACATCCATCATGCAACCTAATGTAACTGAATTGAGATTAATGCATTGGTCCAGTCCTTTTTATCCTTCAATACAAAATATTACCATTTGTCTCCTAGGCCAATGATTATCTCATTGCTTAGAAAATCGGCTAGACTTATGTCTTTTTTTTTTTTATTTGGTAATTGATATTACTAAAATAGAGTGATCATGAAAAATGTAAGTCACTTATATAAACTTACCATACGTTGGATGTCCGCATCATTTGGATCAGTTGAAACGGAACTATTTCCACTTGCCATTTTTTTTAATTAGCTTTTAAAAAAGAAGAAATCAATGAAAATAAGCAGAAGAAACATTTCTAGTACATTATATTAATTTTTTTTCTTGTTTTTATTACGACAGACATTGTGTGTTGCTGGCATCATGTGAGTGGACGAGATGAACAATAAAGAGTCCAGTCCTCACATTTTTGAAGAGGCAGGTAAAACAATTTTAAAAACTAATTAAAGTACCACTATAGTGCCTGGAAAACTCTTGTTTTCCTGGCACTATAGTGGCTTGAGCTTGCCCCCTCCCGCCGGGCTGGATGGCGAGGAAAGGGGTTAAACTTATCTATTTTCCAGTGCCGGGCAGGGAGCTCTCCTCCTCCTCTCCGCCTCCGATCATCCTCTTTTTCTGAATGCGCATGCGCAGCAAGAGCTGCGCTCGCATTCAGCCTGTCTCATAGGAAAGCATTTCCAATGCTTTCATATGGACGCTTGCCTCTTCTCACTGTGATTTTCACAGTGAGAAGCACGCAAGCGCATCTTGCGTGGGGTTCTCAACGTTAGTCCTCAGGACCCCCTACCAGTCCAGGTTTTAGGGATAACATAAGTGTGTCTAAGGTGTTTAGAAAAAGAAAAAAAAAAACCTTAGAGTCAAAGGTATTTTTTTAAACCCTTTTTCTAAACACCTTAGACACACCCAGGTAATCCCCAAATCCCGGACTGGTAGGGGGTCCAGAGGACTGGGTTGAGAACCCCATCACTAGAGGATTTGGAGGCTTGATTTAACAAAATATAAACATAGAAGTTTATTTGAAACTGCAATGTTGATATAAAAGAAAGGGTTACTCCTAGAGGGACCTGGCACACAGACGACATCATTATGTCGTCTGTGGTATGGGTGCCTACAGTGGTCCTTTAATAAAGTTATTTAGAGGATCACTGTAGTGTCTGTTAAACAAAGCTGT